TTCTCCCCACCCCCTCCTGGTTTCTCCCCATCCCCTCCTGGTGTCTCCCCATCCCCTCCTGGTCTCTCCCCATCCCACCCTGGTGTCTCCCCATCCCCTCCTGGTGTCTCCCCACCCTGTCCTGGTGTCTCCCCATCCCCTCCTGGTGTCTCCCCACCCCATCCCTGGGATGAATCCACCACATCCAGGTCCCACCAAGAAGGACCAAGGGTCGTGTCCACCCACAGTGGCCAGAAGTGACTCCAGGACCTTCCAAGAACCGTTTTCCTGGAGGCACCATGGAGGTGGTTGGAGCTCTTTGGGGATCCAAGGGAACCAGAGGATGGGACCCACCACCCAACCCTGCCCACACCTCCATCCCTGGACATTCCTTGATGGATCTCCATGGGAAGCTGCTGAGATGCCTTCAAGGAGCTTTTTGGTGGGAACCTCTGGTGGATCCCTGAAGGTTGGAGGACAACCCTGGAGGTGACCAGAGATGCTTCACCCATGACTTATCTCCAAGAGGGTTCCCACCCTCCCCAGTGTTGGCAAACCCTGCCAGGACCGGATGGAGGTGGATTCCGAGAGGCTGGAATATCTGGGCGTCTCCCATCGCCACCCGTCCCAGTCCAAACCAGTCCCACCAGTGCATTCCGATCTCCCAGACACTGGTGGAAGGAGATTGCAGATCATGGAGTCACCACCACCACCACCCCCTCCTGGCTTCCAGAAGGAGCCCACAAAACGTCCCCAGGTGTCCCCAGGTCACCCCGTGGAGGAGCCCAAAGGCTCTTGAGGGTCACCCTGGAGAACATGGAGTTGGTGTCCCCCACCTGGAGGTTCTACTGGAGGTTTTTTGGGGTGGGAAGTTCCTTTTCTGAGCACAGGATGGTCCTTTTTGGGTGTAAATGTCACCTCCTCCCACCTGGAGGTCTTCTCTGGTGGCCTTGGCTGAGGTGGCACCTGAGGGTGGCTTGTGGGGGTCCCAGCCAGGGGGGCCACCAGGAGAACATCACAAGGTCTTGGACCTTCACTGAGGGGGCAACCAAGTGCAGCTCCTGGTGGTCGTGGCCTCAGGGTGGTCAAGATCTCAGGGTGGTCAAAGCCTAAAGATGGCCAAGACCTCAAGGTGGTCAAGACCTCAAGGTGGCCAAAGCCTGAAGATGGTCATGGCCTCAAGGTGGTCATGGCCTTAGGGTGACCAAGGCCTCAAGGTGGTCACGACCTCGGGGTGGTCAGGACTTCAAGATGGTCAAGACCTCAAGGTGGTCAAGACCTCAAGGTGGTCAAGGCCTCAAGATGGTCATGGCCTCAGGATGGTCAAAGCCTCAAGATGGTCAGGACTTCAAGATGGTCAAGACATCAAGGTGGTCAAAGCCTCAAGGTGGTCATGGCCTCAAGGTGGCCAAGGCCTCAAGGTGGCCAAAGCCTCAAGGTGGTCATGGCCTTAGGGTGACCAAGGCCTCAAGGTGGTCACGACCTCGGGGTGGTCAAGACATCAAGGTGGTCATGGCCTCAGGGTGGACAAGGCCTCAAGGTGGTCATGGCCTCAAGATGGTCAGGACTTCAAGATGGTCAAGACATCAAGGTGGTCATGATCTCAAGGTGGTCACAGCCTCAAGATGCTTCTGTGGCCACTTGAAGGCAAAGGAGAAGGTCCTGTGGCCACCACAGGTGAAGGGAGAAGCTCCTGTGGTCACATCAAGACATGGAAGAAGCTCCTGTGGCCACCACAGGTGAAGGGAGAAGCTTTTCTGGTCACCTGAAGGTGGGGGAGACACCTCCAGAGACCTGAAAGATGGAGAGATCAGAGTCACAGGTGGCTCTTCCAGCGGTGACACCTTGGTGAGACCCAACCAACCCAGTGGCCTTTTGTTGCTGCTTCTCCACCCAGATGGAGCCCAAGACACCTCAGCTCCAGGTCAGGCCTCACCTTCTGGTGGGACCTCCTCCCCACCCCTGGTTTCTCCTGTGTCAGGGCTTCTGGCTGGTGGTGCAACCACCATCACCCAGCCCTGGAGGAGCCACCCAGGTGGCTTCTCCAGCTGGTCCTACCTGCTCCATCGCCCAGCTCAGCTCTTTCCTGGGGTGTGTCACCTCCAACCAGGGGCTGGGAGGGACCTGGAGGTGGAACCCCAGGGGCACGTGGCCAAACTTGTGGAGATAAGTGACCCCTTTGGGGACCTGCTGAGCTGGGACCTTCCCAGGACACCTGGTTGGCCAAACACAACTTGATAAGTGACCCCTTGGGGACCTGCTGAGCTGGGACCTTCCCAGGACACCTGGTTGGCCAAACCCAAGGAGATAAGTGACCCCTTTGGGGACCTGCTGAGCTTGGGGACCTTCCCAGGACACCTGGTTGGCCAAACCCAACTTGATAAGTGACCCCTTTGGGGACCTGCTGAGCTGGGACCTTCCCAGGACACCTGGTTGGCCAAACCCAAGGAGATAAGTGACCCCTTTGGGGACCTGCTGAGCTGGGACCTTCCCAGGACACCTGGTTGGCCAAACCCAAGGAGATAAGTGACCCCTTGGGGACCTGCTGAGCTTGGGGCCTTTCCCAGGACACCTGGTTGGCCAAACCCAAGGAGATAAGTGACCCCTTTGGGGACCTGCTGAGCTGGGACCTTCCCAGGACACCTGGTTGGCCAAACCCAAGGAGATAAGTGACCCCTTTGGGGACATGCTGAGCTGGGACCTTCCCAGGACACCTGGTTGGACAAACCCAAGGAGATAAGTGACCCCTTGGGGACCTGCTGAGCTGGGACCTTCCCAGGACACCTGGTTGGCCAAACCCAACTTGATAAGTGACCCCTTGGGGACCTGCTGAGCTTGGGGACCTTCCCAGGACACCTGGTTGGCCAAACCCAAGGAGATAAGTGACCCCTTGGGGACCTGCTGAGCTTGGGGACCTCGTGGTGGGACCTCAGGAAACCAGAAGAACATCAGGAACGCCCCCAAAAAAGGAGAATTTGGGGTTCTCAGAGGATTTGGGGGGGGGGTGAAAGAGGATTTTTTTGGGTTTTAAGGTGATTTTGGGGTTTTCAAGATGATTTTTGAGGTTTTGAAGGTGATTTTTGGGGTTTTCAAGATGATTTTTGGGGGTTTCAAGATGATTTTTGGGGTTTTCAAGAAGATTTTGGAGTTTTCAAGATGATTTCTTCGGGTTTTAAGGCCATTTGTGGGGTTTTTAAGAGGAGGTTTTTTTTATTTTTAAGAGGTTTTGGGTTTTCTTAAGAGGATTTTTGGGGTTTTCAAGATGATTTCTGGGTTTTTCAAGATGATTTTGGGGTTTTCAAGATGATTTTGGGGGGTTTTAAGAGGATTTGGGTGATTTTCAGATATTTTTGGGGGTTGAAAAGAGTATTTTTGGGTTTTGAAAATGATTTTCAGCTTTCAAAGAGGATTTTTTGGGGGTTTTAAGGTGATTTTAGGAGTTTCAAGATGATTTTTGTGATTTTTTTTCCTGATTATTGTTGGGTTTTGATGGTGATTTTGGGGTTTTCATGGTGATTTTTGGGTTTCAAGATGATTTTTTTGGGGGTTTTAAGATGATTCTTGGGGGTTTAAAAAGGATTTTTAGGGTCTGAAGATCATTTGGGGGGGGGGTTAAGAGGATTTTTGGGGTTTTAAGACAACTTTTTGGAGGATTTTGGGGGGTTTAAGATAATTTTGGTGTGTGGGGGGGGGTGGTTAAGAGGATTTTTGGGGTTTTAAGACAACTTTTTGGAGGATTTTGGGGGGTTTAAGATAATTTTGGTGTTTTAAGATGATTCTTGGGGGGTTTAGGAGGATTTTGAGGGTTTTAAAGAGGATTTTTGAGGCTTTAAGATTATTTGGGGGGGTTTCAAGAGGATTTTGGGGCTTTTAAGATGATTCTTGGGGGGTTTAGGAGGATTTTGAGGGTTTTAAAGAGGATTTTTGAGGTCTCAAGATGATTTGGGGGGGGGTTTCAGAGATGTTTTTGGGTTTTAAGATGACTTTTAAGAGGATTTGGGGGGTTTTTATGATGATTTTGGGGGTTTTTAAGATGATTTGGGAGGGTTTGAAGGTCATTTTGGGGTTTTTAAGATGATTTGGGAGGGTTTGAAGATGCTTTTTCTTTGCTTTTCAGAGGATTTTGGGGGGTTTGAAGGTGATTTTTGAGTCCTCGGAGGGGGTTGAGGAGCCCTGAACCCCATGACTTCTCCACTGTCCCACCTCCCTTTATCTGAAGCCTCCTCTGATGGGTTTTTTGGGGGGTTCTGGTGGGTGGTGACGTCCTGACAGGGGCCACCTTGGCCCTTCTTGTCTTCCAGCCCCAGAAGACGAGTCCCGCATCATCGGGGGCAGACCCTGCTCCATCAACCAACGGCCCTTCCAAGTGGCCATCACCAAGAGGGGCCAGATCCTCTGTGGGGGCAGCTTGATCGGTGCCCAATGGGTCTTGACCGCCGCCCACTGCCGACAGCCAATCAGGTGAGCTGGTCTTGGGCTCAGGTGGCTTCCTAGGAACCGAGGTCTCCTCCCCTAGAACCCCCTCGAGAACCAAGAGGTTGAGGTGGGTCTCCATGGCTTGGTCCCACCAGCTGGAGGTGCCCAGATGTTGGTCCAGGCAGGAGGTGATGCCTCCAAGGAGTGGCAGATAAAGAGGTGGCACCTCCAGAGGTTGTTGCCTCCAGGTGGGAACATCTCCAGGTGGCCAGAAGATCATCTCCTGGTGGCCAGAGGTGGAGTCTGGTGCTTCCAGATGTTGCTGGCCCAGATGTTCCCTCCAGAGGGATCCAAAGGTTGGGGTGTCCAGATGTTGGATGCCCAGATGTTCCCTCCAGAGGGATCCAATGGTTGGGGTGTCCAGATGTTGGTGGCCCAGATGTTCCCTCCAGAGGGACCCAAAGGTTGGGGTGTCCAGATGTTGGTGGCCCAGATGTTCCCTCCAGAAGGATCCAAGGGTTGGGGTGCCCAGATGTTGGTGGCCCAGATGTTCCCCCCAGAGGGATCCAAAGGTTGGGGTGTCCAGATGTTGCTGGCCCAGATGTTCCCTCCAGAGGGATCCGAAGGTTGGGGTGTCCAGATGTTGGTGGCCCAGATGTTCCCTCCAGAGGGATCCGAAGGTCGGGGTGTCCAGATGTTGGTGGCCCAGATGTTCCCTCCAGCATCTGCTGCCCCCCATGGCCAGATGTTGATGGCCCAGCCACGAGGCATCTCCAGGTGTTGATGTTCCTCTAGAGGGCAATGAAGGTCCAGCTGATCCTCCCCACGGAGACTGGAGGAGCTGGTGTCTCCATGGGCACCCCCACCCCACTTTGAGGTCCTGTCACCCCCTTTTTCTGGGTGATCACATGAAGTGGAGCACGCCAAGTGTCTCCACCACCTCCATCATCTCCACCACCTTCACCTCCATGGTCTGGGAGCTCCTGGAGAACTCCTGGAGAACTCAGGATCCTCCTGGAGAACTTGGGAAGCTCCTGGAGAACTTTGGGTCCCTCCTCCAGAACCTTCTGGGACTTTCTCTCACAACCTTGAGAAGATGGTGACCAAAACAAAGTCCTCCCTGCTGGAGCTGGAGGTGGTGGAGATGGAGCAGATGGTGGAGATGGAGGAGATGGAGAAGCTCGTGGAGGTCAAGCTGGAGATGGTAGAGATGGAGGGGGATGGTGAAGATGGAGGTGGAGATGGTGGAGGTCGAGCTGGAGCTGGAAGTGGTGGAGATAGAGGTGGAGATAGAGCTGGAGATGGAGGTGGAGATGGTGGAGATGGAGGAGATGGTGGAGATAGAGGTGGAGATAGAGCTGGAGATGGAGGTGGAGATGGTGGAGATGGAGGAGATGGTGGAGGTAGAGCTGGAGGTGGTGGAGATGGAGATGGAGGAGATGGTGGAGGTAGATTTGGAGCTGGAGATGGTGGAGATGGAGATGGAGGTGGAGATGGAGGAGATGGTGGAGGTGGTGGGGATGGTGGAGATGGAGGTAGAGATGGTGGAGGTAGAGCTGGAGGTGGTGGAGGTGGAGATGGAGGAGATGGAGGAGATGGTGGACGTAGAGTTGGAGCTGGAGATGGTGGAGATGGAGGAAGTGGAGGTGGAGATAGAGGTGGAGATAGAGCTGAAGCTGGAGGTGGTGGAACTGAAGCAGGTAGAGATGGTGGAGGTGGTGGGGATGGTGGAGATGGAGATGGGGATTGGAGGTGGTGGAACTGAAGCAGGTGGAGATGGTGGAGATGGAGGGGATGGTGGAGATGATGGAGGAGGAGATGGAGGAGATGGTGGAGATGGTGGGGATGGTGGAGATGGTGAAGATGGAGGAGGTGGTGGAGATGGAGCTGAAGCTGGAGGTGGTGGAACTGAAGCAGGTGGAGAGGAGATGGAGGAGATGGTGGAGATGGTGGGGATGGTGGAGATGGTGAAGATGGAGGAGGTGGTGGAGATGGAGCTGAAGCTGGAGGTGGTGGAACTGAAGCAGGTGGAGGAGATGATGGAGGTGGAGATGGTGGAGGTAGAGCTGGAGATGGAGGTGGTGGAGATGGAGGAGATGGTGGAGATGGAGGGGATGGTGGAGATGGAGCTGTTGGAGATGGGGATTGGAGGTGGTGGAACTGAAGCAGGTGGGGATGGTGGAGCTGGAGGGGGTGGTGGAGGTGGAGGGGATGGGGGCGCTGGCGGCGGGGG